GGGGTCGAGTAGAGTGGGGTAGAGTAAGGCTAGGAGGGGTGTAGGGAAGTGGGTGGAATAACGTGGATGGGACTGAGGGGGGGGGGTCCGGAACGACGGGCCTCGGATGCGAAGCCAACCATCGCCCCCTTGGTGTGGGGTTCAGGGCCTGCTCAAGGGCCCTGAGTTTTGGTGCTTTGGAGAGCAAACAGTGCCCTTTGGAACGGTTTAGAACTATGATTTAGCTAGTCAAAATTCTAATTTTGAGGGGAATATTGGTGTGATATATTTTTCAGAAACCGAAGGGGGCGGACCCCCCTGCCCCCCCTCTAAATCCGCCACTGCATAGATGAATAAATAAATAAATAAATAAATAAATAAATAAAGTAAAAGTAGGAATTATATATTGATTCTAACATTTCCCGGCTTTCTGGGAAGACCAATGCAAAGTTACTGTCGCTGACGCTCCTAATTAAAAGAAAAACTCAAAGCAAATGAACATCGTTCTTCGACAGCAACAACGTCATCTTAAACTCAAGACCGAATATAAATGATTTCCTTGTTAGAGCAGTCTTCTGCGGTCTTTTCATTAGAATGCTGTGTGTAACACGCGTAGGTAAGTAGGCCTCTGATATGAAAAAAGTTTGAAAGTGTGCGTTTGTGCTTGTGTGTGTGCTTGTGTGTGTGTGTGTGTGTTTGTGTGTGAATGTGTTCGTGTGTGCGAGTGTGTGCATGAGCGCGTTGTTATTAGTAGTTTTTTTTAACTTAAAAGTTAAAAAATCTGTTGAGTAATAAATTTTAAAAAAGTAAAGTAAAAACTGCCTCCTTTTCCTTTACATTAAACCTCACTGGTTTATGGTTTTCCTTGGTTGTACACCCAACACAGTGATTGCTACTGGTGAGAAAACGCAATCACCAACCTTCTTGGCTGGGCTATTCATTTACAAGATGTGGGGTTACTGAAGATGATGATCAAAGATTTAAGGGACGTAGAGACCGGTGCGCGGGCGCGCGCATGTGTGTGTGTGTGTGTGGTGGGGGGGGGGGGGGGTCAAATTTATGTAGTTTTTGTAACGAAGAGGCAGGGACGAATATTTTTGGGAGGGCAGTAAGATTTCTGTGACAGGAAAAAGGGTTTAAAAAAGATCTACATTGTACATGTACACGTAGAGTGGCAGAAAATCCGGTAAATAGTATTGATTTCATCTTTTGTGGTTAAGTTCTAACAATTTATTATTTAGTTAGAATTGGTACAAAACATCATATTCAAGTGTAGGGACATGTTGATTAATTACTTTTGCGAGTAGAAGAAATTTGCCTTCAAGTAGGTTTGGCGCGAAAAATCTCGTGTAAGAAAACCTTAAACAGGGACACAATATCCATACTCTGGCTTAAAAACCACAACTGTAGCTAAGAAATCAAGTCAATCTTGTTTAAACTTTCATTGAAAAGAGGACTCTAAGTTTGCACACACACATTTCATTGCCTAAACATATTGTGTTTATTTGTATTATATGATATTTCACGGTACAATGGACATAAGGTATTTATTGTATTATTGTAACTGAATGGGGTTATAATGGTCAGGTACATATTTCCTTCTCTCAGGGTGTTAGGATACTAAAGTTGCAAGTTCCTACCCACACGGTACATTATAAGTAAACTGAAATCATGTAAAAATTTATTGCAAAGATCCAGTTTTTTATCATATAAGTTATTTTATATTTTTTCCTATTTTTTTTCATTTTAATATTACTAACAGCAAAAATTCAAAACACCATATTGATAGTGAAGAATTGATATCATTTTTAAGTTAAGCAAAGATGGCATACTGCATAAAGTAATTTAAGGCATATTAAAATTTGAGTATTCACTTGATATCTCTTGAATAACTGTCAGTGTTTTCTTTATTTACCTTAAAAATTTGCTCTTAAACTATGCATTCACGTAATCTATTGCTGTATCCATTCAGTTTTGGTGCCAGGAATATGGATAATCAATACACTAGTAATCCATGTTTGTATACTGATGATAAGTTGATAAAGATTGTTGTATTTTGTATTGAATTTACCCATAATATAACCTTCTGCACTGCAGCATTCATATAGCTTATATGGTCATAATCTCTCCATTGTTGAAGAAAACTGTCCGCAAGCTGGTCAGTGTTGGAGGGGACAGGGAAACACAGCGTGATTTTGTCAACCTGCCTCATTAACTATCAGGTAGGTAGCATTTTGTACTGAAAGAAATATAACTAGGTAAGCAGAATTAAAGTTTCACATTTCACTTTCTCTGGAGGGAAGGCAGGAAAAAGTTTTAGTTTGAGACTACAAAATCCAGTCATAATACTAATTTTAAAGATATTTTGAACATTTTAGGTGAGTATTGCTATGACTGTGAACTGACTTACATGTAGATTTTGCATAGTATTTTTTCAAACACATGGTGAGTAGAATTTGTGGTGATTGGATTATTTATTATGTAATGTTGCTTGTATATTTCAAATTCTGTTAAAATCAGTTTATCAATTAGGACAGTGCATGATAACTGTTTTGTTTTATTTAGCTCTGTACTTTAGAAAACTGGTGCACAGTTTTGATTCTATTAGTCAAAGAATTTAAAATGTGAAAAAATGTTTTGTTTAAAAACTGGACTTTAAAAGATATAATATATATCCACCTATCGACTAAGTTTGATTTTTTGTTTTGTTTTGTACCGCTGCATACAGTTACGTGGCTATATATGTATTTTAAGAACAAAACTTTTTAGTTAATTTACGCTTGCAATAATGTTTGTAATTATTTAGTTTTCCATGTCTTAACTGTAGGAGAAACTTATTGTAAATCTTGTGTTTCTTAGCAACAAAGCTGCTAGATTTGACAATTATATATAATTATGCATTTTACATATTTGTGAGATCAGTAAATCAGGATGTTTTTAGTTTCAAAGCAAATTGATAAAAATAATTTTTTGTCTTTCAAATGGACACATTATATTAACCTGTTGAATCTTTTGTGGTCAAGACAATATTGTTAAAAAATTTAAGAAATTACATGCATGTGTATTATGTAGATGCACTAAATCAAATGGTCACAAATCGACTGTAAATCCACCTTCAGACATTTTCCCCAAAGTAGACAAGCTGTCTCACTGAGTGTCATGTACAGGGTTAGAGTAAATTACCATAATTGTCTGTGCTATGTTGCCGAGGGCGAGAAACAAATACGGGTTGACATGCAACCACTTAGCAGAGCTGAGCAGGGTGAGATGGTCTCTGTCAGTGTACCCCTTCTAGGCAGATATATTAAGAAGAGGAACAAGTGCTTAGAAATATTGCAGTTGTTACATTGTACCCCTGAGAGAAGGAAAAGGTGAGAAATATCCNGGAGAGGGGGGGAGGGGAGAGGTGAAACAAGATTGCACGCAAATATGAGTCCAAATATGTCCATGTGTGTTCATGAGGGAAATTGAGGCTTGTTTAATTGGAATTTAATCTATCTATGTTGGAGAATGAAGTTAAATTTATGTTAAATATATGAAAGGAGCAAGTTAACTATTTTTGGTAGTATTAAGTCTTAACATATGTGTATAGACCAAGTTGGCTGTACATTATATTGTACATGTGGCTTAAAATTGGTTTATCCATTATTCAATTTAACTTCACTTGGTGAAGAAACTGCAGTGGTATTGGTTTTCATTATTCTGTATTGCCCTACTTTTAACCTTGCCAGTATTGTCTTCAATTATTGTGCCTTTTATTAAAGATGTTTTTTTTTTTTTGTGCTGTTGATTGATTTTAAAAAATTGCAAAAATTCTGCTAGATTGGAACTGCCAAATGACTTTCTCTGATACCTGATTTTTAAATTTTAAATACTGGATCACAATACAAAATGGAGAAATACCTTGAAAATGAGAAGACATTTAATGAGTTTTAAATCGATAAATAAAAGGGAGGAATAAATTGAAATGAATGGAATTGGTCCTTGAAAATGGTAGTTCTAATGATTATTTTCAAGGACCAATTTTATTGATTCAGTTCAAACTGCTGAGAAAACTTACAAATGGAAGAAAGATTTTTTCAGAGATAACAGACTGTCTAGAATGTAATCAGATTTATGCATTATTCATTAGTTTTTTTCCATTACCATGAACACTTAACCTGCTCCAGTTACCAAAAGACTGATTTAGCATTCAACATTTATTTAATTTTAATTTTCACAATAAACGAATATCTGTCAGAATGTCATATAGTTTTGCAGAAATATTTAAACAAAGAGATTTATTTCTAAAAAAAGCAGCCAAGTATGATTTATTGGTTTAAATATCTCCAAGGGAGAAGCAAACTCAGATATTTGGCTGTCTCTCCGTGAGGGGTGCACTTTTTCCTAATGATGCATACTGGTCTGGCCTTATTATAGGGAACTGTAGTTGGATGATGACATCATTTCTGTGGAAAAATAATACACCCTTGACAAAAAAGTGCACAAAATTAGCAGAATTATATCCAGAAATTAAAACATTTGTAAATATCTAGAGAAATAATCTGTGCCCCCTGGTGGAGAGTGTATATGTACTAAGTGTAACTGCACCTCACCTTTGGGATACATGTCAACCTGGCTGAACCTCTAAGAAACCAGTTTCTGTTAAATGGTCCTCAGTCTAGACACTGCATATAGTACCCTGAGTTTAAAAAGTTGACTGGAAACTCAGCCTTATCAATTGGCATGCATTTCAGTCATTTCACATAGCCAGTTAACTCTGAAACTCGAGGTAGGATTTGGAGCCAGAGATCACACACAAATCATCTAAATTAATACCTTAATTAATTTTAGTAATTACATGTATACTCTTTACACTATAATGTGCATAAATTTATAATTTAAGTTTTTTCCATTGAGGAAATTAATACTCTACTGCATGGTAGTCAGTTAATTTCACACGTTCTTAATTGACACATCGTGACATGTTGTTAAGTACACAATGTTAAATGTATTTAGCATAATGAAAGAGAGTCTTCTAGTACCATAATGTACACAGCAACCCATTTCTTCTCCAGATACCAATTACAATATTATACATTCAACCTAGAAAATTGAGTCACAATGAAAAGTTCCTTTTTCCAGTCCAATTAATCATATCAGCCTGACACATTGTGCAGACTTACCCGGTGGGTCGTTAAGATGGGTGTTGCGAACAAAAAGTACTAATTAATACATAATTAATTGTGGCACTAATGGATAAAGTAATTATAAGAGACGTGCACATCTGGTTCACATTCACAAGGATTGTGTCACAGGTGTGATATGAGGTCAATATAATTTTACTTACTTTCCAGTGCAATAAGTCTGTGTAACTGTTACTATTGTACCAAGGTAAGTTAACTTATGATTATTAAGTGTTACGTGTTTTAGAGTCATTATAATAGTGACTTCATATAGATTGTCATACGTACAGACGTGATTCCAGTGTTGAACTAGTGAAACGGATGGAATTATAATTTCAGGAGGGCAAGAGAAATTTTAGGGGCAGTTATCTTAACCATTTTGTCAAGAACCTAATTGATTGGATACTAGTGGTATATGTGTCTGCATACATGCACATGTATGTTTGTGGCAAGTGCATGTGTGTGCAGTAACGTACACTACTGTTGCTTTACAAAGTAATATCCATTGCAAAAATTTAGTAATGTAAAGTGGCTCTTCATGATCTTATGAAGTTTTACAGAGCAATTTAATTCTGTTTATGTTCAGATCAGCAGAACATGTATTGATAAATGAACTGAGGTAAACAACTGAGGTAAACTGTATACTCACAGATGAGAGAATTGGGAGTCTTAAGTTACCTTCTTAACACTGAAACAGTAACTGGCATTGACATGCACTGTGTGCCTATGGTAAAGTACAGGCCTTAGCACACTATATATGCTAAGATTCATCGATCTTGAATTTGTTGTGTGGTTGGATATGATATGATGCCATCAGTATAAAGTTTGCGCTGTAAAATTTAGACTTGTAAGCTTAAGAAGGACTAAGGTATGGCTGATTTAGATGCCATCTGTGTGTGAACTGTTAAAATTGAAACCACATTATTGCTGTCATTGGATGTACCTATCTTGTCCTTGTCTGAATGTGTCTGGAGACAAGGTTGCAGAATGGTAAGTCATGTTCTCTTGTTTAAACCAGTAAAAACCAGACACTTTTAATTTAAATTCCATTAAACTTTGCATCAAGTCACAGCTGAAGCCATTTTTTTTTCAATCTCTCTGCGCCTAGCGAGAAAGTACCTAATTATATGTGTTCAGCAGTGTCAGAAACAAGCTTGGTAAGTAATATTTTCGTGTTCTAACCAGACAGAGAACAGACAGGAGTCATGGGGGAACACCAGCACAGGTTAGGTTTGTATTGTACAGGGTCAAGTCACTGACAGCCTATCTGTTTTCCTAAGTGATGAGGTTAGTGCCCGTGTATTAGGTGTATCTGTACTTGGTAGACTTTGTACATCTGCTAATGCTTACATGAACAGAGAAGTTCTTTGGAGAAATGTGCTGCATTCTGTGTGAAAATTGTCTGAATATTTAAGATCTTTGTTTTGGGACCACTCTTTTAACAATACAGTATTTTCAATTAATTTCTTCAATCTGTTGCCCCTGTCTTAGACATTTTAAGGTTGTGGTTTATTTTCATTGTATTATAAGTTGCATTTTGTTTTGATTTTTTTCTTTTGATAATGTTCAAATTGCTTCTGCTAAATATAAACTGCTCACTGCGAGAGGCATCTGACTTTCTCCCTCAAACTACACCCATTACAGTATGTATATACCTTTTGTAGATATTGAAATTTTCTCTCAAAGAATCCATTTTCTTGTAATATGATAGACACAATTGATCAGTTCTGTTGTAAATTGCTGTAAATTATATTCAGAATAGCTCAAACAGAGCCGTAGAGATCAGGAAATCTTCATCCTGGACCAATTTTGATTTATGACATGTGGGTTGCAATTATGGAAGGTATATAGTAGAAGGGGCCATCAGGACCAGTTGGTTGACCCCCAAAGGTGTTAATAGGGGCTGGTTAAGGATTATTCACCATCATTAAGTCTGTAAGTGTCAACCTATGATCTATAGGTCCCATGTCTTTAAGTAATTTAATGATCTGTGACAAGTATTTTGACACAGCCTGACTGGTGATATTTTTTTTTTTTGTGATTGTGCTTCTAATACATGGAATTATATAGATAAAGTGAAAAAAAGTACAAATTGTAAGTGCAAATGACAGTGATCGTTGAATATCCTCAAATAGGTCTCTTTATTGGTGAAGCAGTGCTGCAGTAGAAATCAGAAATATATGCCTCTTGTGAAAATCACATGGAAAATTCTATTACAAATTGAATGACTGACATATAGCTTAGATTAAAGGCAGAATTTTTGTCATGGGTGGTGCACATGATTTTATCTAGAATATAGAAAAAGACCATGAAGGTATTTTAATCTTTTAATCACAGCCAGTGGTTCATAAATAGAGGTTGTGCTATAAATAAAATTTAAAAAATATTTAATGAATAAAATTTCAATTTTGACACCAGTCTAATTTTAATTAAAAGACACATTGCTAAGAATTTGGAAGAAATTAAGTTTAAAAAAGAATATGGGGAAGCAGCTGCCTGATTTACCTAGACCCTGATTACCCAGAAAAAAAGTTTTTAAAATAAATTCCAAAGGTCACACTTTCTTCGTGCAGAAATATGTGTACACACATGCTTATACACTGTACACCTATACTCACATGTGCATGCTTGCATGTGTACAACGTAGGGCTANTTGGTGTGGGGTTCAGGGCCTGCACAAGGGCCCTGAGTTTTGGTGCTTTGGAGAGCAAACAGTGCTCTTTGGTACGGTTTAGAACTATGATTTAGCTAGTCAAAATTCTAATTTTGAGGGGAATATTGGTGTGATATATTTTTCAGATACCGAAGGGGGCGGGGGGTCAGGACCCCCCTGACCCCCCTCTAAATCCGCCACTGCATAGATAAATAAATAAATAAATAAATAAATAAATAAATAAATAAAGTAAAAGTAGGAATTATATATTGATTCTAACATTTCCCGGCTTTCTGGGAAGACCAATGCGAAGCTACTGTCGCTGACGCTCCTAATTAAAAGAAAAACTCAAAGCAAATGAACATCGTTCTTCGACAGCAACAACGTCATCTTAAACTCAAGACCAAATATAAATGATTTCCTTGTTAGAGCAGTCTTCTGCGGTCTTTTCATCAGAATGCTGTGTTTATTAACACGCGTAGATAAGTAGGCCTCTGATATGAAAAAAGTTTGAAAGTGTGCGTTTGTGCTTGTGTGTGTGAATGTGTTCGTGTGTGCATGAGCGCGTTGTTATTAGTAGTTTTTTTAACTTAAAAGTTGAGTAATAAATTTTAAAAAAGTAAAGTAAAAACTGTTGAGTAATAAATTTTAAAAAAGTAAAGTAAAAACTGCTTCCTTTTCCTTTACATTAAACCTTGCTGGTTTATGGTTTTCCTTCGTTGTACAGCCAACACAGTGATTGCTACTGGTGAGAAAACGCAATCACCAACCTTCTTGGCTCGGCTATTCATTTACAAGATGTGGGGTTACTGAAGATGATGATCAAAGATTTAATGGACGTAGAGACCGGCGCGCGCATGTGTGTGTACACGTGTGTGTTGGGGGAGAGGGGGGGGGTCAAATTTATGTAGTTTTTGTAACGAAGAGGCAGGAACGAATATTTTGGGGGAGGGGGGGCAGTAAGATTTCTGTGATAAGAAAAAGGGTTAAAAAAAGATCTACACTGTACATGTACACGTAGAGTGGCAGGAAATCCGGTAAATAGTATTGGTTTCATCTTTTGTAAAGTTCTAACAATTTATTATTTAGTTAGAAATGGTAAAAAAAAAAAAAAAAAAACATCAGATTCAAGTGTAGGGACATGCTGATTTATTGTTTTTGCGAGTAGAAGAAATTTGCCTTTAACTAGATTTGGCGCGAAACATCTTGTGTAAGAAAACCTTAAACAGGGACACAATATCCATACACTGGCTAAAGACCGCTTGAAACCACAACTGTAGCAAAGGAATCAAGTCAGTCTTGTTTAAACTTTCATTGAAAAGAGGGCTCTAAGTTTGCACACACATTTCATTGCCTATATCCTTCAACATATTGTGTTTATTTGTATTATATGATATTTCACGGTACAATGGACATAAGGTATTTATTGTATTATTGTAACTGAATGTGGTTATAATGGTTAGGTACATATTTCCTCCTCTCAGGGTGTTAGGATACTAAAGTTGCAAGTTCCTACCCACCCTGCACATATTGTATGAAGTATTTAAAAACAATATTTGAAATATGATGAATAAATGAAGTGAATTGACTTAAAAATTACGGGAAGGTTTTGTTTGTTTGTTTGAAGTCCCACATTTGATACATTATTAATAAACTGAAATCATGTAAAAGTTGAGACAATTTATCGAAAAGATCCATTTTTTTTTACCATATAAGTTATTTAATTATTTTCCTATTTTTATTTCATTTTAATATTACTAATAGCAAAAATTCAAAACACCAATGATGTTGAAAAATTGATATTATTTTGAAGTTAAGCAAAGATGACATACTGCATAAAGTAATTTAAGGCATTTTAAAATTTGAGTATTCAGTTTATATCTCTTGAAACTGTCAGTGTTTTCTTTATTTACCTTAAAAATTTGCTCTTAAACTATGCATTCACATAATCTATTTCTGTATCCATTCAGTTTTGGTGCCAGGAATACGGATAATCAATACACTAGTAATCCAGGTTTGTATACTGATGATAAGTTGATAAAGATTGTTGTATTTTGTATTGAATTTACCCATAATATAACCTTCTGCACCGTAGCATTCATATAGCTTATGTGGTCATAATCTCTCCTTTGTTGAAGAAAACTGTCCGCAAGCTGGTCAGCGTTGGAGGGGACGGGAAACAGCATAGTTTTGTCAACCTGGCTCATTATAACTATCAGGTAGGTCACATTTTGTACTGAGAGAAATAAATCTAGGTAAGTAGAATTCAAGTTTCACATTTCACTTTCTCTGGAGGGAAGGCGAGAGAGTGTTTTAGTTTTAGACTTCAAAATCCAGTCATAATATTGATTTTAAAGATATTTTGTACATTTTAGGTGAGTATTGATATGACTGTGAACTGACTTAGATTTTGCATAATATTTTTTCAAATACATGGTGAGTAGAATTTGTGAGGATTGGATTATTTATTAGGTAATGTTGCTTGTTTACTTCAAATTCTATAAAAATCTGTTTTTCATTTACAACAGTGATAATTGTTTTGTTTTGCTTGGGTGCACATTAGTCAAAGAATTTAAGTCATGAAAAATTTTTTTGTTAAATATACATCCCCCATTGGACTCACTTGGAATATTTTTTTGTTTTGCACCGATGCGTACAATTATGGCAATATGTATTTTAAGAACAAAACTTTTTAGTTAATTTACGCTTGCATTAATGATTGTAATTATTTAGTTCTCCATAGCTGTAGGAGAAAGTTATTGTTGATCTAAAGTTTCTTAGCAACAAGGCTGCTAGGTTTTACAAATTATGCATTTTACATATTTGTGAGATAAGTTTGAATTTGTAAATCAGGATGTTTTTAATTTCAAAGCAAATTGATAAAAATATTTTTGTCTTTTAAATGGACACATTATATTAACCTGTTGAATCTTTTTGTGGTCAAGACAATATTGTTTAAAATTTAAGAAATTGTGTATAATGTAGATGCACTAAATCAAATGGTCACAAATCGACTGTAAATCCACCTTCAGATATTTTCCCCAAAGTAGACAAGCTGTCTCACTGAGTGTCATGTACAGGGTTAGAGTAAATTACCATAATTGTCTGTGCTATGTTGCCGAGGGCGAGAAACAAATATGGGTTGACATGCAACCACTTAGCAGAGCTGAGCAGGGTGACATGGTCTCTGCCAGTGTACCCCTTCTAGGCAGATA